AAGCATGCATGCACAGATGTGTGTGCAGACAAGTATTCACAGGGTTCTCCACACGAAGACACACAAGCATGCAGGTCTGTGACAAGCTCAGCGTTATGACCTCATAATGTACACAAGGGTGCACACACCACACACACAGTGAAGTCAGACCACTGCAAACATACAGAGATACATCCGTTCCCATGTGTGGACACACACAGGTGCTTGGCCCTGACATGGTATATGACAGCTAAACATTGGGCAGGACTGCCTCTCGCCCCGTCCCTGTGTTTTTAAAGCTGGGGCACCACAGAGCCCTGGTCCCATCTCCTGGACCTCTGCTGCTCCCAGTTTATCAAGAAACACTAAGTCTAAACTGGCCCCTGCCAACGTCTGGCTTCTCCAGAAGGGAGCCACCTGTACACACTGGCCAATCCCCATGTCCACTCAGTCTCCTTCAGACCCATCTCAGGATTTTACCCTGCCCTCAGGGTATGACTTCAAGGCTCCACAGCTGCTGCTTCGAAGTGAGATGGAGGATGGGGGTAAGCATTTTACCTTTCTGTCCTTCGTATTAAGGGAAAGACTCAACTGAAGCTGGTCACAGCCATGGCCTTATTCAAGATCTTGAAGTGTGCGGCTTATGGCCTGTCCTCCTATGGGCATTGACTCAGAACCTGCTCCCAGGGAGGCGGCTTGGAAGGATCCCAGCCTCCCAGGCAGCCAAATGCTTATTAGCCATGCATAACTATCTGGGCCTCAGTTTCCCCCTCTGGGGAATACAGAGTGTCATCACTAGCCTCAGAATGGCTTCTTCTCCTTTAGCCTCCCAACACACAGCCTGTCCCAGGCTAAAGGGCTCTCTGTTCCTGGTCTCTTAGAGCCACACTGACACTCACCTAAGGTCCAAGTCCCTGCACCAGGGAATGCTCTTTGAGTTAAGCCAAGAGTGGCATTGTCACCTCAAAGCCCAGGAAGACCACAGACCCTTCCAAGGTACAAGTGCTACAAAGTAGAGACCAAGGTCAGCTCTAAGGCAGAACTTCCATGGTCAGAAAAGGCTGGTGAAGATGATCAAAAGGCTTCAGGACTTTTCTGGGTTGAGATGGGAGAGGAGCTGCCTGGAACAGTTTCAGTCTCAGAGACCCTGTCCTCAGTTAAGCCCCCCAGAATTCCCGGAGTTTCTCTCTGCCTAGGCTCAGGAGAGAATGGGGATCTTCGAAGATCCCACAGGCCTGCCCAGCCTCAGGGCTCGCTGCATTCTGCATCACAAAGGGACCCCAAGACTTTCTCAGCAGGAGTGGAGGGTGAAAATCGGCGGGGGTGGGGCACCTCCGGGCCCTCTGTCAGGGGTTCCCTGGATCAGGGATCAGATCGACTCTTGTCGACTAGGGACCAGCTGTGAACTTGGACCCTGGGTGGAGAGTCGGGAGTCGCGGCCCTGGGCGGGGGAGGGGCGACTAGCGGGGGAGGGGGTGCGGCGGCGGCGAGCACATCCGTCGCGTTTATCCACCTGGCAGCTCCAATTCGCGCGCCCGTCACTCATCCTCAGCCTCACCAGTGCCCGCCACGGGGCCTCCGGGTCCCCCGCCCGTGCTCCGAGCTGGGGGCAGGGCGCTCGAGGACCCCTCTCTAAGAGCTCTGACACCCGGTGAGGCGCTCGCCCTCCCTCCAACCAGCCTCTCGAGCTAGGGGGCGGGACCGAGGGAACGGGAGACCCGGGTGCGGCCCTCCCGGACCGCAGAGAGGATCCCTCCGGAGGCCTGCCGCACACGCCGAGGGAAAGGCTAGCTGAGCAGACCGGGACGAAGGGCGGCCCCCGGGAGCGCGCGGGTGGCAGGGGAGGGGGCGGTGACTCAGCCGCCCTCCGCCCGCCTCCCCGGAACTTTGCAGCAGCTGGAGCGGTTGCTACAGGAACCGAAAGCTTTTGTTCCCCAGTGTCAGGGCTGCCCCGGCGGGAGGATAGCTCGGAGGTTGCCACTCCCGATGGAACCTAGGTCCGGCCAACCGCTAGAAGATGAATAGCCGACCTGAACGCCACGGGTTCGTGTCTTTCCTCCTCCTGCTAGCCCTTCACTGAAGCACTCGCATCAACGCTAGGCTTCTCCAAACTCCATAGCTCTCAGGCCAGGCTGCCCCTAACTCTGACCTGCAGCACTAACTAACCTGGAAAGTTCCTGACAATGTCTGATCTCCAAGGGTTGGGAAGAGGGAAAGGCTCTGTATCTCAGGGGGGTTGGTTTTCCATGTGGGCCACCTCTAACGGACTGCCCACCTTTGAGCACCTTGTCTCTTCGGTACCGATTCCACTCCGCTAACCTCTATACTTGAATCTAGACCTCAGAGCCCTTGGCTTAGCCTTCATTGCTACCCCTATGACCAGGGAGGACCCAGATATTGCAGAACCAGAGAGAAAGAGAAGGAAACTAACAGTCACAAGCTTCCTAGACCCTTGGGGGTGAGAGGGGTTAAGATATTTTGTCTTTATTATTCTGAAGGTTAGAGTGAAGGAAGTAGAACTGTTATATGCTCCTCCTTGCTAGGGACCTGACCTTGGCTTTGAAGGGAAACAGCACAAGACATCATTATTGAGTATTGATAGGTGCTCCAAGTACCATCTGATTTCATTCCCCAGCAATTATATGGGGCAGTGGCTACTGACCCATTTTACAGAGGATCAACTGAGGCTCAGAAGGTTAAGGAGCTTGGCCAAGTAACACGGGTTTTGAACCCAGATCACCTGATCAAAAGCTGAGTCTCAGCTACTTACCTTCAATAGCTGAGGGCTGGGAGGGAGGAGGAGGGCAGAAACTAACTAGACACTCCCTTTGTGTTACAGAAATGCCCACCGCTGACACACACCGTAAATGAGACCTGTCCCTTTATGAAAAGAGATGGGGAGAGGACAGAATGAGGGAGTGGGGAGGCAGAAGGGGAGAGAGGATGATTATCTGTCAGTCTTGGTCCCTCATCTCCCCACCGACATCACCAGGGCATACCCTGTGCGGCGTCTATACTGACCCCCGCTCTCCAGGTGCCTGCTCTGTCCCTGGGTCAGGTGGATTTGCTCACAGCTTTCTTCACCCCCAAGCCGGATAGAGTCCGCCTTTGCCCCTCTCTTTTGAGGAATGCGATGGGGGTTAGACAGACAGAAGCTCCCTAGGGACACCTACTCAAGCCCAAGAAGCGACCAGATCATTCTGAAAACCGGGGCTAGTCCAGCTGTGCCTGGCTTGCTGCTGGACCGAGTCCTCCATCCAACACCGTCCCTCTCCATCCCCAAAGCATGTAGCCTTACAACCAGCGTTTGGGCACCTGGCCTCGCCCACCAACCTCATCTCCCCAGGGACTTCCCAGCGTCAGTCCCGCAGACACCTAACGCTTGGGTTGCGGAAACCCGCGGTTGTCCGCGAGAGAAGGGGCGGTGGGTCCCGGGCTGCGGGCAGGGGGCGCCAGAGGACGCCCAGGGGCCGGGCAGGCAGCTGGCGAGGCGGGCAGGCGGGCGGCATCTCTCCGCCCGGGCGCCCCTCCCCCCCGCGGGCAACAGACTGGTCGCCGGTTCTGCACTAGCCGTGGCGCGGAGGATTTCCCGCGGCTGTGCCCTCGGATCAAGTCGACTGCAGGAGTAGCCGTCAACTTCACAGCCTACAGCCCCTCAAATCATGCCAGCCCCCAGGGTTGCAGAAGAGTGCGTCTGGTGCCTGGCTCTAAGACCGGTGGTGGGAGGATAGGGATGGGGGGGCCGGGTTTCCGGCCAAAGACGAACGCGGGAGTCCGTGGAGGGTCCGATGGAGACCTCGGTCTGAGGAAAGGGGCTTGGGGGAGCCAAGGGGACACGGCCCCAATTCCAGGCTGAGGGGGAGGGGACTTGCAGCAGAGATTGGAAAGGGAAGGCGGGACTCTGGGCAGATATGGGGGAAGGGGTACTCGGGGCAGAAATAGAGGGGAAGCATGGTCGCCGTGCAGGCGCGGGGGAGGGCAGCAACAGACATGGTTGGGGACCGGAACGACCACGGGCAGAGTGGAAGAGAGGTCCAGAGTCCGGCGGCCAGACTAGGAGGGGAGATGGGGGAAGGGGGCAGCCGAGCTGCAGGTTGGAGAGGGGCTCGAATCAAGACCTGGGGCGCACTGCCGGGATCTTGGCCGAGACAGGGCAAGACTCGCGAGGGCGGTGTAGCAGTCTGGGTCAGGATTCTAAAGGTGGGGGGGACTTTGACATAGACGGCAAGGGGTCGGTCCAAGCTGGGGGAGGGGGCAGCAAAGGGGCTCGCGGGAGACTAAGGGGGCTTCCGCCCAGGGCTTGGGAGTCCCTTCTAAGACGGGGGCTGAGTGAGCGCAGGACAGACTCAGTTCGGGCCGGAGAATCGAGCAGAGATGGGCAAGCGGAGCACCCCGAGTGCGGGCTGGTGCGGAAACTCGGGACCGCGCGCGAGGGCTCGGTGCGGGGCCGGCCCGGGTCCGGGGCCGAGCACTCACCTGGGCGCCGTCAGCAGCAGGAGCGGGGGCCGGCACTAGTGGAGGCGGCCGCGGGGCGCAAGTTTGCCATCCCTAAGGCGGGGGCCGGGCCGGGCGCAGGGCAGCTCGCCGCAGCCGCGCCGAGGCCCGAGGCTCCGGCTCCGCCGAACGGCGGGTGCAGAGCAGGCGCCGCGGAGCTGCACGGGGCGGGCGGGCGGGCGCCGGGCCGGGCGCGGGCTCCTGCCGCCGCCGCCGCCGCCTCCTCGCCGCGCCGCCCCCCGCTCCCCGCCCCGAGCACCGCCCGCGCTGCGCGCCGCCTCCTATTCGCGGGCGGCGGCCGCAGCCCCAGGCTCTGATCGCCGGTGCCGCATCCTCCTCTCTGTCTCCTGGCGCCGCTGCTGCCACCGAACCGGATTCCTCCGGCCGCTCCGGCCGCTGCCCGCAGCGCGCACCGGGCCGAGTGACGGCCGAGGCGGGACGCGGCGCCTGCGCGGGCCAGGCCCGGGAGGGGGCGCGCGCCGGGCCGGGCGCGAGGAGCCGCGGGAGAAGGGGCGGGGGGCGGGGGCGACGCGCGCCGCCTCCTGTTAAAGGGGGAGCAGCGCCAGCCGAGCCAAGCGCGCCCTCCCCCTCCTCACCCTGGGCCCCAGGCGCCGGCGCGGGAGAAGCCTGGGGTAAGCCCCCGCCCTGCCGGTGACCGCCTGGACCGCAGAGTGAGCCTAACCGCGGTACCCCTCCAGCGATACCCCTGGCCAGTAGCGTCTGGCGCAGCCAGGGTCTCCCGATCTGCGGAGGCTAAAGCATTTTCTCCCCCTCCCCAATATGCAGTGCATATTGCGTGTCCCTGAGCATGCAGGTGCCACTCGTGCACTGAACTTTGCATATGCATACAGGTGCCCTGCGTGTACACTGCAATATTGCCTGACTGGGTGCATGCAAATGCTGCACATATGCATAGTGCATTGACATGAGCTCAGGTCCTGAATGCATGCTGCTTTTTCCTTGTGCCTTAAGAATACTGTATGTGTAGAAGCTCACAGGTGCCATATGTGTGCAGAACGCTGTGGGTAATTCGTATGTAGAAACAACAGAAGTACCCCGCAGCGTGGCATGTTTACTGCATATTCTGGTGTTAATCGCTGTGGTGTTGCATGTCCCTAGGCACGGGGATGCTACACGTGTGCAGTATGTTACATGTTTTCCCAAGTCTCTTCTCCCACAAGTGCCTTTCTTTGTGCCAGGGGCGCCCCCATGTTGCATCTGTTTATGTAGAAGCCACAGAGATGCACAGACCCACCCCATCCTGGCCATGTGCCCAGGAACAGTTGGGTGGGGCCTAAGCCCACATGGCTCAGGCGGTACCCAGATTGATGCCCATGGCTCAGGGCTCTGGTCAGGAGGCTTGTGGCCTGGGCGTGTTGCCACCGGGAAGGTGGGCCGACTGGGGACACACCGCAGCAGCCAAAACAAGTAGGTTAATCCGATGACTCTGGGCAGAGAAGCCAGCAGGGGGCAGCTTTGCAACGAGGGTGGAATGATTTCGGGACATACTTTGGAAGGTTCACACACGTGGAAAGGCCAGTCCTGTAAGGATACGGTGATCCTCAGCCCATCCGTTGCTAACTTCACCTTTCCCCATGATAACTCGAGTTTTGTCACCCACAGACGGGCAAGATGATAAAAGCCCACATCTTCTCAGAGGGGTTACCAGAACGAGGCAGAGAACTTCCTCTGTAGCCTTCCTCTGCCCCTCCCCGCTGAAACAGTCCTGGTGACATTTGTTGTGAGTGATTGGGAGACATTATCGACTTTAATGGAAGGAGGTAATAAGGGGTGATGAAGGAATCTCACCAGTCACCTTAAGGGAATTTATGAGGCTGTGTGAAGCAGGGAGGGGGTCTGGGCTTACACCTTCTCTTTCCCTGTGGGAACCTTGAGAAGGCCAATGCCCTAGCACTGGCAGGCAGAGCTCCCAGATTCTTGCCAGGCACCCTCAAACATACCCTGGCACAGCTGGAAGGCCCAGTTACCACTGTGAAAGCTGAACTAGGCAGTACCTTGCCATCTGCAAAGCTTTCACAGCCACCAGATACTGTGGGAAATCCTGGGCTCCTTCCTTATTCCACTCCTGGGAGAAGCAATAGAGTTGCTGGGAGCCTTGAGGAGGTGGACAAAAGTGAGGAAAGCGTTCAAATATGAACTGCCCACAAGGACGCAAGGACCAATCCTTAGAAGTCTTTACATTCGGGCCTCCAAAGCACCAGCCCCTTCACTCCTATACTGAGCCCGCCTCCCTCTTTATGAATATTCATGATCATTTGCATGCTAGAGACCTAGCACCAAGAGAAACACAGGCCGGTCCCCTGCAGATGTGATGCAGCTGGATCTCTAAAGCCGCCCTCACACTCTGTTCTCAGAGATCCAGCTGGGTAAGGGGTGACGGGAGGGGCCACCTCCGGAGAGCTAGGGATGTTATTTATCTGTTTCTCTGTTCCTTGATAGTCTTACGACTTCCTGATCCCATGCACTAGGGAAAATGTGGCGGGATGTGATGAGGGACTGTTAAATCATTGATATTCCATACCCCAGGGATTCATAGGGCAAACTCACAGGAAGAAGCTGGGTAAACTGAGTAAAGACAGTGGGACTTGTCAGCGGGTGTACAGAAGCTGGCTGGACTAGGACAGATGTTGGGAAGGCTCTCCCTGTATCAGGGCTTCTGCCACCTGCTTTCCCAGGAGTCCCTGCCCTTCCAGACTCACTCTGGTGATAATGCCACCCGCCTGCCTGCCTGCCTGCCCGCCCAGGAGGACTTGGAGTAATTACAAATTGTTTCCATATTCAAATCCAGCTGGTTGAAGAGAAATTACTTCTCTGAACAGCCCAGGCGGGGGTGAGAAGAACGCATCGTAGCCCCAGGAGGAACCCCCTCCCCCAGAGAGCCTGAGGCTGAGACAACCTGGCAAGAGACACCATGCCGAGCTTAGTAACAGATGACTTGGGCAGAGTGGAGGGCCAACCCTCTATCCTTACACTCTGAGCAAAGGACAGTGAGCCCAGCTCTTGTGTCCCATGAGTCTGTTCTTGAACCTGTAATGAGATGAAGGGGACCCCAAGCACATGTGGACAGTAGGCGGCCAGTCTTCCTACCCTGATCTACTGCTATGCTGGGTGACCTTGAGAAAATCCCTTCAGCTTTCTGGGCCTCTGTCTTCTCATCTGTGGAACAGTGTAAAGCATAAACCGTCTTAGCCTAGGATCCAGGAAGGTCCGAAGTGTGGATTAGCAAGTACTACGGCCTGGGGAGGGACCTTTTAGGATAATAATCTTGTTTGCGATTGATTAATATTTCTGTTAAGAATAACCACCACCAATACCCCAGCTGAGAGTCAGCACACCATTAAAGCCAAGGCCAACAGAGCAGCTCATGAGAGGATGAGGGTCAGGCAAGGGAGCTTCCTGACCTCACCCGCCTGGCCTCAGCCTCGCCTCCCGCTGGGCCAGAGCTGCTATGCTTCATTGCCCTTTAAACAGATGAGAAAATGTTCTTCTTCCCTTCCCAATGATTTATTTGGCCCAGAGCCTAGGCAGGTTCCCTTCCAGCCGATGAGACCTAGAGTGCCCCTCACTCAGCCCCTGCCACTCCGTCAGGCATTCCAGGGCCACTCGTGTCCAGGACACCAAAGTCTTCTTCAACTTCCACAACCACTTGAGACACTTTTAAGGATCTCACATGCGCCCCCCAAATACCCAAATTCATTCAACAATCTCATCCCCAAGGCCTGCTCCAGTGCTCATGTGCATAACATCCCCATGCTGTGATGCTGTGTGTGTGTGTGTGTGTGTGTGTGTGTGTGTGTGTGTGTGTGTTTGGGTGGGGGTGTAATAGGTCCTGGAGGGCTATGCTGTGAAAGGCAGATTGTCCTCTTGCAGGAAGTCCTGTGTGTCTAACTAAACGGGTTTAGGGGTTTTGGGTCATCTGGGCTGGATGTTTGTCATTTTCTTGGTGTTGGAGACTGGGGAGAGAGGGGGGGAATTAGATGCTTGCTCACCAAATCCTCGCAGAGGATCGATGCATGGTTATGTGCAGTGTATTCACACAGTTTGTATATTCTCTGGCCCCAGGGGTAGAAGTCCTTTAGGGTCCTGGGTGATCATAATGTGTGTCTCAAACTAGAGGGCACCTGTGAGAGATTGTAAAGCCTGGTGTCAGGAAGGGTTCTTTTTAAATTATTCATCCAACAAATATGTTTTGCATGTTTGCTCTCTTGTAGGCACTGGGACACAGCCTATCAGCAAGTTTATGTCTTCCTCTACCTCCAAAAATATCCCCAGTGTACCCACTCTTCAGAGCACCTCTGCCAACAACTGAGTCCAAGTGTGTGGATTCTCAAACCACACCCCTGGGTTCCTACTCCTATCTCTCTCGTGCCAGGACACTCTCCTGGGCTCACTGAACTATCCCTTCAATGTAAACACAAGTTCCTCTTCTTATAGTCCCAAACTATGCATGTCCTTGTCCCTGTCAGCCCCTCCAGGCCCATTCTCCTCCTCTCACTCCACATGCCCTGAGCCCCAACTGGCCCCATGACCTTCTCGATGTTTATGGAAACCTCCAAACTAGTCCCTAGCAGTTCCCATGGCTCACCCCTTCTGATCAGCTTTTGTATTACTTTCCTGACTGCCCCTCTTAAATCACCCCTGCCCCCATTGTTCATGTCATGCCTCAGTTGAACTTTCTTGGTAGCCTTCATCACTCTGAAATGGGCTTTATCTTTGTATACACATCCCCTGTGTCCGTGCCTATCAACTGTAAACTGTGGATCCCATGGAGGCAGGACACTGTCTGTTCATAGCTGGACCCCCTAACACCCAGCAATATAACAGGCACAAGGTGGGTACTCAGTGAGTGCTTGCTGAGTGACTGAATGATAAACGAGCCAAGACACCTGGCTCCACCAGAGCTTTTGAGCTATGACCCTGGACCCATGCTCTCCAGACATACATCTTCCTGTCTCGTGGGATGAAATGGAAACTTCCATCTGTCACTAACTGTGTGACCCTAGACAGGTCACTTATGTGCTCCAAGGCTCATTTTTTTTCTTCTATAAAATAGAAATAATGACTTGAACTTATCAGAGTCATAGAGATGACAAGGACAAGGTGCCTAGCATGGTGCTGTGCCCAGGTAGGATCATCTGTGTGACTGTAGGTTCCTTTCAGATTTACTCAAGGCCCAGGGCTGGCCTAGATTCTGAGGACATGGAAATGACTCAGAATTTGGATCCTAAGTGTAACCTCTTCCCAGTGCCCTCCACAACAGAAAGACCTAGCTGGACCCATAGAGAGAAGGGAAGCCCAAGTATGAGATGGTGCTCGTGGGAGCTGCCGCCAGCATGGTTGTGGTCTGCTCTCTCTCTCTCTCTCTCTCTCTCTCTCTCTCTCTCTCTCTCTCTCTCTCTCTCCCTCCCTCCCTCCCTCCCTCCTCTCTCTCTCTCTCTCTCTCTCTCTCTCTCTCTCTCTCTCTCTGTATGTTCTAAGTCTGTGTTCTCTTCCCTGCAGAACCCCCCATCCTCTCGGCCCCCCCCTCTGTGTTGACACCCATGCATATGACTAAAATGCAGGTGGCCCTCCCTCATGCACACACTGTAAATACAACTACACACGCAGCTCCAGGGTACAACCCCCCAATCTCATCTTTCTGCTTTAGAGGGCACCCATCTACTCATGCCCTCACCCATGGCTCTAGGCTGGGGTCAGGGGTCACACATAGCTCCTCAAGGAGGCAGCCCAGTCACTCTCTTGATAATTTGTTCCCATAGTCTAATCCCACGCTTCCCTACTTCAGGCCTTAAGGACTGGCCCTGGGAACCATTCTAGGCGTGTGCTGGATGCAGGGAAATACCATGTCCACCTGCACGCGGCCCTGCTCTGTCCACACAAACCACATTCACCCAGACTCTGAGTAGATATACAAACCCCAGGATTGCACACACGGGTTTTCCACACCACATATACAACGCAAGCAGGAAAGAGAAATGCATGGAAATGCTAGCCTGAAAACAACACAGAGAGAGACACGCAGCAGCAGATCTCAGAGCAAGCGGCAGCTCCTGACGTACAAGACTTAGGCAGACACACACAAAGACTGCACCCAGGCACACCGTACACACACAGATTCTCCCCCTACACATTGACGCACACAGCCACCCACTCGTGTACCCACAGCCCCACTCACTCCCACTCTGTTATGCAGAACACTGGGTTAGCCAGGCACTCTGAGCCCCGCCCCCTCTGACCATAACCTTCAGGAACCTCTTCTCCCTCCTCATTCCTTCCATAGGCCTTACCGCCCAGCCTGGAGCAGACTATGCTAGGGTGAAACAGAGGACCCACTCCTTCACCCAGCAGAGACAGCAATACTCCAAGGGATGAATGTCCTCCTGGGGTGTGTGGGCGGGGTGTGTGGTCTGGCTTGCCAGGGAAGTGTGTGGGTGTTAGTGGTCCTGTACCTTGTTCTCAGTAACCCTCACCTCTGATCACCTGTCCTCAAATTTGGTGGCCAGCTTCTTCTTGCAGGATCCAGTGCCAGGAGTCAAGCCCTCCAAGACTGTCACCTGAGGGAGCAGGTCTTCCTGGGAAGATAACCCTAACCCAGAAATAAATCATTTTCCACAGCTGGTACTTGTCTGTCCTCTGAGGGAGGTGAGGAGGAGGATGAGGGCAGGGCAGGGCTGAGGCAAGGTCTTGCACAGACCCTGGATGAGGCAGAGACAAGGCTCCCGTCTGCCTCAGTCAGTCTCTCATCTGTGAAATGGGATGGGCATGGAGATTTCAGGGTGGGCCTGAGGGTTGTTTTGCGGTAAATGAAAAGCATCTGGCATAGTGTCTGCCCCAGAGGGGTTCAGCAGCATGAGCTGGTGCCCTGACTCCCTAGGTATCTCCACCCTCCCTCTCTGCCCACTGTGTCCTGCTTGGCACAAGCCCATTTGGCAGGATCCAGATGGTACAAAGCCCAGGGGAGAGAACTCAGGGCAGCCAAGATGGATAGATGCATCAGTTCCCCAGGCCCGCCTAGAGTCCCTGTCCTTCTGGAGGGATTCTCCTGTCTCTCCCTGGACCAGAATCTGGGAGCTGCTTCTCAGGCGCCTCCATCCCCTTGCTTGCTCTCACCCCTTCCCTCTGCCTCTGTGTCTGTCTTTCTCTGTGTCTCTGTCTGTCTGTGTGTGTGTGTGTGTGTGTGTGTGTGTGTGTGTGTGTGTGTGTGTAAGGTGTTATCAGGTCTTTGTATGTTTGGCCTTTGGTAAGTCAGGGTGTGGCAGGGATCTGATACATCCAGTGGATTCAGTATACATCTTTGCCAGCCTCACTGTGTGTACTTCAAGATACAAACAAGTCTCCAGCTTCCAGTGAGGTCCACATATGACACTATTGGTATGTTCCTGAAGGCGTGTAGGTCTGGGACATGAGTACATGCGTGATGTGTGTCTGCAGATATGTAGGGTAGACCTGTGATTCTTACCTTCAGGGATTTATGAACAATTCTCTGGGAAGCACCCTCCCCCTGGGGCTGAAATCTCAGCCGTGACTTGCCAGCCAGCATGGTTAGCTCTGCACTTGCCTTCCTCGGAGATCCCTTTCCTGTGGGAACTCTGAGGCAACTGGACAGTAGATTGGTTCAAGGTCATACATTAGAGAAACCCGACACCTTCTTCTCTGGTGTCCTGCACCTCTTCCTGCTCATAAAGGGACCCACCCCTGAGGCTGCCAGCACCCCATGCTGTGCTGGATCTCCCCTGGAAGGAATTTTAATTTCCACTCCTCAGGGCGGGCAGACACAGTGAGCTCTGAGCTGCTCGCTGGGTTGGCAGCAGGGGTGCTGGGGCTGACAGCAAGGCCACGGGGTGGAGGAAGGGAGTGAGGATTTGAATTTCAAAGGCAGCTTGGGCTCCAAGCAAGGCTGGGCAGGCATGCTGGTTAGCTGTATGTGCTAGCCGTGTGTGCGCGTATGTACCCATCCACTAGTGTATCTACAGATGTGCATTTGCAAATGTGGTGTGTGTCTGGGTGAAAGCGTGCTTTGTGACTGCCCCTCTGTGACCCTGTGTCAGTGTTTGCATGGGGCAGTGTGTCAGAGCACTGAGACCAAGAGTTTGTGACTTGCCAAACGGATGTTCCTGCAAGCCTGTTGCATGTCAGTAGTGATTCTGGGCACTTGGTCTATATGAGTGTGTCAGTGTCTTTGTGTGTTCCTGTTTTGAGTCCTGAGTTCATGCTAGCACATATCTGTAGACACGGATGTGTATGATGTGTTCCCTGATCCAGTATGTTTGGTCTCTGTGTTACTGAGTATATCTTCAAGTTTGTGCCAATGAGCGTGTGAGTGTGTGTGGGGTTGACGACCATGGAGGTACTGGAACAAGAACAAGAAGCAGCCAACGTCACACTCATCACCGCCCTCTCTGAGCACTGAATGGGTACCAGCCCTGGGCATACCCCTCCTCCAGGAGCTGGGAACTGACCCATGGGTACTCAATGGGCTTTTGGGAGGCAACAGCCGGAGAAGATGGGCTGTTAGTGGGAGGGGCTCCTGGCACTCATTTCTCCACCTTGCTAGCTGAGGCCATGGGGGGCAGCTCATCTGTCTTACACAATGGGCCTTCACTGCTGTGAGATCTTTGCTGCCTATGACTATGCTGGATACTCTGCACAGACAACACAGGAAGGACCACTTGGGCCAGAAGACTCAGGCCACTTATGTAAACACTTCAGTCATTTGGTACTCACCCACCCAACCCCTCCCCTGTCCCAAGCAAGGTCTGAGTCTTTGAGGAAGAAGAAGGCCAAGGCTCAAAGTCCCAGAAAACAGGGCAGCCTTAAGTCACTCAACACCCCCCTCCACTCAGTCATGCTCTATCCTGAGTCTTGGGGACCCAAACAAGGGATAGAAGCAAGGGCAGATCCAAATTCAGCCTTTGCTATAGGGTATCAACCCACAGCTAGACACACGTTAGGGAAGGGCAGGGGCTGCCTCTATGTAGGAGCCCCCAGAGATCTGGCTGAACCCACAGAAGGGACATCAGTATGACCAGGAACAAGAAAGGGAGGCCCTAGAGATGGAATGATAGTTTCAAGTCTCCTTCCCTGACAGACGGGCAGCGTTTGGAGAAGAGGGAGAAAGTCACTTCTCCCAGGAGGGCTCAGCACAGCACTGGCCCCCAGGCTCTCTGCTCTAGAAACATTGACTGCTTAAAGAAGTTCTCAACCTTATGAAGTAGTAACAAAAATAATGTTATGGTTGGGGGTCACCACAACATGAAGAACTGTATCAAAGGGTCACAGCACTGGGTGGTGGCGGCACACACCTTTAATCCCAGCACTCGGGAGGCAGAGGCAGGCGGATCTCTGTGAGTTCGAGGCCGGGCTGGACCGGCAGCCTCCAAAACAATACAGAGAAACCCTGTCTCGTAAAACCAAAATAATAATAATAATAATAATATAAAAAAGGGTCACAGCATTAGGAAGGCCTAAATGAAAGAAAGACATGAAAATTCAGGGCCACAGAAGTGAGGGAGCACTAAACAAAAGACAGAAATGGCACACCTGGCTCTGAATGCTGTGTGTGTGTATGTGTGTGTGAGTGTATTTACGCATGTGTGCATGATTTGGAGGAGTCTATACAAGGCAAGGTTCAGCAGGAAACACATCATGGAGGGC